GCACACATTGTATAGAATAATAGAGTAGCTTAATTGAGGGTAGCAGCGCGCAGAGAGCCGAAAAGAGCTTGATTATTTAAGTAGATAACTGTGTTTTTCCTAATTCGATTTGGAGATCAAACTCTCATAAACTGTCCCCGGAGGCATTTTGTTGAGTGATTAATTTTTAATGTAAATACTTTAAGAGGCACACTTGAAATTACAGCGTGGGCCTCTGCTGCTGCTGCTTGGCTAATGCCAAGTTGGACATAAACAATTGACAGTGGCTGCCAAAAATCTATTTACTATGTTGCCCGGACACACTTTAGTGAGCGCCGACAATGAAACACGCTTTTATTTACTTTTGATTATCTGCTTAAGGTCGACAATAAAAATACGAAAACAGTTGCAGCAAAGCAAACAGAGATACTGGGGACAAATGCTCCGATCTGAGCGTACCAAGCCACAGCGGGGGAGGGGGCGGACGACAGTGCGTTGGCGGTTGAGGCAGCAAACAAAGCGCCAAAAGAAACCAGCACAGCAGAGCGCAGGAAGCAGCAACAGCAAAAACAACAATATGGCCAGCATTTAGCTTATGGACAGGTTAAAATACTTATACATACGTATATATGTATATGTGTGGGTGTGCGTATGTGTGAGTGTGTGCTCGAGGGCTGTACATAATGTAGTCATTGCGCCAACAAAAATAAAATATTAAAAATGTCTTCAATAATATAATTTCTATGTCCTCCTGCTGATTCAGGAGCAGATTCATTCACATGAAATCCTTGAGAATCCTTGAAAATCAAACACCAATTAATGAGACTACAGCCAACTGGCAATTTGGACTTTTAATATAGGGAAACAAGTCAGATTTAGCACATCAATATATACAATAGATAGGATATCTAGCAGTCTGACACGCCCTACACTCACACCAATGTTTATTTACGCTCTGATTGGTATTGACAGAGTATGAAAGTTAGATAACTTTTTAACAGCCCTCGATAGGACAGTTTTGGTCACCCTCGCTGAGGCCTTGTTGTTTGTATACAACACATATGTGCACACAAATGTGTGGGAGTGAGTGTGTGTGCTGGTGTGTGTGTGTGTTTGTCGTTATGCCTTTGTGTATAGGTGAAGGTGTCAACAAGGCCTGTCGCGGATTATGAATAAGCAAAGTGGCCAGACGCACCCACGCACCCACGCACACACACACACACACACACACGCAGCCACACACCCAACAATACATAGCTGCGTGTAACTGTAAACAAACAATGCACGCACCCTCTATGCATACGATCCCATATCCGATCCACAAAGCAATTGTTTGCCCACCAAATTATTTATGTGAAGCATTCGCAGCTTTAACCAAATCAATTGAAACAAAAGACGAAATATCTATATACATATATCTATTCATTGAATATATCAAACAAATATAATATGTACTTACATGTCAGTTAAGATTATATTGCTTTAATTAGGTCATCAATTAAGAAACATTTGTTGAAAATGTTAATTAAACATTTTTAAATTTAAAATATAGATAGAATGAATAAAATCACAGCAATATACTATATACATGTGTATTTATGCACAGGACAGGGTGAAATGTGATGGGCGCAGATGTGGTGGGGGCCTTTAGAATAGAGGTCAGTGATATGAAGGAAATATTATGCGAACCATATATTTATATATTTATATGCATGATTTTAATGAGAATTAAGAATAGATAGGGTATATTAATTAATGTATATTAACTTTTGCCATATTCATGTACGTTCTCACGAGAGATGAGATGCTTTACAGGCTCTACAGACCCTTGCGTGCTTGAGGCCCTATGATAATGCGGCCCGTTGTATGGAAATCTTTTATTTTCTAAACATTCATGGAGTAGAATTTACTACTTTTTGTAGTAGGCCAATGGGAATCAGGGGTGCACTATAGTCAACTATCGATAATTAACTATACTGTTATCGATACTTCGCTATAAAGCCATCAATAGAAAGGGAAAGCTAAGAGAGCAACAAATTCGTTCAGATAAAATAAGACTAAGGCTTTATACCTTTTACATTTGTGGGGAAATATATCTGGAATCCTTTGGTATATGAAAACCAGACACGTCAAGCCCCTATCATATTGCCTAGATTAGTAGGGCATGTAAATATTTGATCAAACATATAAACAAATAAAAATTTTGCCTATATGAGAATTTGTTATTTAATTTAAATATTCCATTGAAGAAATGTGCTGCTATCTATGATGTCTTGTTACCTAATAAATCTTCACCTATTTATATTTGAAAGCTCAAGTTAGATTTGCTTCAGCGCTGGAGCAGTTCCAATTAAAAAAATTACTTGAGTTAAAAACAGCAAAAATTAAACGGTAAACAAATGTATATATATATAAAATATGTATATATAATATATATACATATGAAAAATAAATAAAATTATGAATTCAATAAAAATGAAATTAATGATATGTTTATTTGATAGAACCGAATCAAATAATTGCATTCGCTGAAAATCAAATAGAGAGGAAAAACACACACGCACACACACATAAATAAAATTGGGCTCAGCTGTAATTGGTGCAGTGTGTAACGGTTGTTGGGGCTGGTGTTATTTGGTTATTGTCATCGTGCCACAAGTGACAGCCACTCAAATGTTGCACTGACAGCTGCAAGTGCAATTATAGTATTATTATCAATTTTGCATAACATGGAAGTGTTCAACTGGATCCCCTCTCTCTCTCCCTCTCTCTCTCTCTCTCATCCCCTCTCTCCCTCTCACTGTTTAGAGTGCTTTCAGTTTTAATTGCTTTTATACAAACAGAGTCCAGTAACTAAGTGCGTGTGTTCGTATTATGGTGAGTGGCTGTGGGCGTGGGCGTGGCAGTCGGCGGAATAGTTGAACTGCTAAACATATTGACAGGCAAAATATGTGTGGCATACAAATGGGCTGAGGTTGCCGCTCAGTCGGCAAACGGTGCGTATGAATAATGCCATTGCCAATTGTTTAAACACACACATATCTGTGCCGAGTGCCGCTGTGTAAGTGTGCGAGTGTGTGTGTGTGTGTGTGTGTGGGAGCATTTCACAGTTACACGTGTTAGCATTTATAAATACAGTTTCTATCTTTTGCCCAAACCAATTTAGATTTGACATTTTTGTTGGAGCCAGTTGCTCCAGTTTAACAGCCAAGCACAAAGCACACACACACACACACACACACACAAACACAAATACATTAGAGCAACATCTAGCCATATTTAAATTACAATTTGTCAGAGAACAATCGCCTGCTATTTCAAATGCAAACATTCAGACTGCATATACGGGCTAAGCCAAGTGCGCTTAGACGAAACATATATATAAATGCTATATTTATAATCAAAATATTTACAAATCCTGAATGACTTCTATTTAGTCAACTGTCCGGCAAAAGGTGCTCCTCCAGTGCACAGACAGACAGTGCAGCTTAAGGGCATAGCTGTACAATAGTAGAGCAGGGATCCATCTGTCTATGATGATCTAGGTGATCTTGGCTTGAAGTTTTTTGAGATTTGACGGATTTTCGCTTTAATTGGCAACCAGTTTATGGAGCAGCTAGGCATTAATTTGATTTCATTTAAAATTTTATGTCAATATACTGTGAAAGTCCTAGATATAGCTAAGTGTGTCCTATATTAATAATATAAATATAGGAGCAAATGAAATTTAAAAAAAAAAAAGATAGACTTATATATACAGTGTCTAACATTAATACTCTTTTTTTTAATAACTTCAAACGCAAATAAAACATGTAATATTAGTTGAAATTAATAAATGGTTAATAATAAATTGTAGATTGAAAAGATACCTTCTTAAAAAGTAATATATCAATGTAGTAGATTTAAATAACTAACAAAAATTGTATATAAGCCGAAAAAAAAAGAGCGACTTGGTTTTTTGGCTTATTGCTATATCAAATATAAATAAAAGAAACAAATTAAATAAAAGGAAAAAAGTAATAGAAATTTGTATACATATTGTATATAAAAGCAAGACAATAAAAAAGTTACTCTTGACACTGTTTTCAGTCATTTCAGACATATATTAAATAAATATTTATTTAAAGCCTAATAGCGATTCCTCGGGGTTTGAGAGATAGAGTGCGAGAGAGCGACAGATAGAGAAAGAGATAAGGTGAGGGAGGGAGAGAGAAAGAGAGAAAGAGAGAGAATTCGGTTCGATCACAAGGTATAAAGTGAGTGTAAAACCCTATAACTAATTCTTTCCCTAAGCTATAATATTATGTATTTATTATCTTAAAAAGCCTTCAAAATTACATGAAACAATAATTGTTTAGATTAAGTTGTCTAACAGGCAGCAGAACACTTGTTTTCTTGATACAGGCGAGTCTCGATAATTTGTACATCGCTAAATTGAAAATCGCAATAAACCGAAAAAAATTCTATACCAATGAAAGAAATTCGTTCGTAATAATTCTCGATAATTTGAATTTCTGTGTAAATCGAAAAAAATAAATAAAACAGATCCCCTTGCCGTTTCGAATTATCGGGATTTGACTGTATTTCAGTAGATAATGATATTGAAATATATGAAAATATTTTGCGAGGGTAGGCACGAATGTTTAGTCAATAGTTCAATAGAGTCTTCAGCTTCAATGAATAGAAAGCGACGTTGATTGAGCTCAGTTTGGTGTATGGAAATTATTCCCAAGTAAATGATTATAAACAAATATAAAAAATATATAAATGATTTATTATTAACATAATTAATATTTAATATTTACTATTTTTGAATACATTCTCAGAGTCTGTTATTAAGTTTTAATGTAATTTAATTTGTCCACCTGCGCAATTAGCTGCAGCAGATTGCAGTTGCATTTACCTTTTGACACTTTCACTTCGCGCTTCTCAAGTATTGAGTGGGGGTGTTGGGGGAGGGGCGTATGAGGGGGTGCAGGTATTTTACAGAATTCAACAGTTTGTCTCGGCGATCCACTTACCATTCACATAGGCAGAGAAATCCAAGCGCTGCTGCTGCTGCTGCTGCTGCTGCACATTGGTTGCTGCAGCAGAGCGTTCCTCCTCGCTGCTGGCGTCACGTTTCATCAGTGTGAGTGACGGCGCCGCTGAGTGGATATGACGATGGCCGCTGGCGGCGTTCGCGGCAACGGAAATCGCATCATTTCCGTTCGTCTTGTCGGGCTGAGCTGGGCCCGCGAATAGAGCCAGCTGCAGCAGCAGCAACAGCAGCGCCGCCGACGGCGCGGGCAGCGGGGCAAGCAGCGGCGTCCGCCGTTTGGGCATTGTGCGAGCGGGCATGGTGCAACCGCTGCCACTTCCGTCTTCTGGCTGCCGGCTCCGAGTTGAGCTGAGTTGAGTTAAGCTGAGTTGAGTTGAGTTCTTTAAGTAATTGCAGGATAAGTGCAAGGAGCGAAGCGGCCAGCGGAAGCGGAAATAACGCGGCAGCAGCCAAGAGCGATGATGACTGCGATTTAATGTATGTTGTTGTTGTTGTTGTTGCTTTTGCTATTGGTATCGCTGTTATTGGGTTTGTATTATTGTCAAACACACACAGACACACGAGCGCACGCACACGCACACGCACACTCGCTTACACACACTCACGCACTCGCGCACTCACTGTACTTGGCTTTGGAATCCCCGAGCGGCCATCAGGCGAAAACTTCGACCACAACAAACGGCGCAAACAAAAACAAAAAACCAAAAAAAAAAAAAAAAAAATTCGGAATTCGGAATTCACAAAGAACGTTCTCAAGCACTTAATATGCTTGTGGATATATATATGTGTGTATGTCTGTGTGTGTGTGTGTGTGGACACAATGCTAAGCAGACTGCCGACGGTGGGCTAAAATCCAAATCAAAACTGCGGATCGCAATCGACGCGTTTCGCACGCCGGCGTTAACGGCCAAATTTGAGCACTTTCAGCGGTTCACAATAGCAGACGCGACGTGTTGTTGCGCGGCCAACGTGCGAGGCGCTATTGAGCCAGCCAACGTGCTGGCCGTACGCAGCAAGCCAAGTCAAGCCAAGCCAAGCCAAGCGAAGCGAAGGCAAGCGAAGGCAAGGCAAGGATTCGCCACAACGCACGAGTCGCCATGCCGCTTCGGGCGGGCAGCCGAGCGAACGGCAGCCGTTTAGTGAATGGAAGCCGACTCGGCGGGCTGCTGGCCCGTTCAGCGCCTGCGCCTGCAACAATTCAAGCCACTCAACGTCAGCAGACAATCCGATATGGATATCAGCGGCGCTGCGGACGCCGAACAAATGTCCAGCCAGACATCGATGTGGATGTGGATGTGGTTGTGGATGTGGATGTGACGACGTTGTAGTTCATTTGCTTGCTACGTGCTGAATTCGTCAGCGAAGCGCTGCAGCCGTTTGGCCATTTGGCCATTTGGCCATTTCACTGACCTTTTTACGCGACCCAACCGCAACAGTTAACGGTTAACGGCTAACGGTTGCCATCTGCCAACTCCAACTGCACAGCTCTCAGCGACTGCCATCGATGCGGGCAGTTAGCGTTTTTAGCGTTTTAGCCAATTATCGGCCAACTGCCTCGGCTGGCAATTAAAATATTTGCAATTGCTTTTCGCTGCTAATTTGATTAGTCATTCCTGGCTTTCAAGCTACTCCTACTGTGCAGCTGTGTGCGCGTTCACGCTCCAATTGGATGTCTCCTGGCAGCGAGAGCGCTAGCGCTCCCGTTTTCTCTGTTCACGCATCGTCGCACATAATCAACAAATCAACACGCCGCAAATATCCGTAAATATGTTGAGCAAACATTTGCCGCCAAAAATTGACAATTTTCGAGAAAAAGGACGCCCACACACAGCGGCGCCCAATGTCAATACAGTCAGCCACACACACACACACACACACTCGCACACACACATATATCCATGAGCATATCCATATATATGCCTATTTACTGCAGCTGACATTCGCATATGCTTGACTATCTAATGCGGCCACAGCGCTGAGTAGTTCAATATATTAAGAACTGCGCGTACGTGAAGATGGCTCAGTTATCTGCCATAGATACAAAAGTATCTGCCGCACGACATATACATATATATGTATATATATATATATATATGGCCTATAGGCCAGTCAGTGACCAAGCAGCTTAAGCCAGCCGCACTCGGACGCCAAATCAAGCCAATTCAATAAATAATGAGCTGTAAAATTGAAATCAGCGAAAATCAACATCTGTTTGTGCTTAATGGAGCCTGAGCATTGCATTAAGCTAATCATTTAATTGCCTTGAGAAACTCGGTGTGAAAACTCACTGCGAAAATGCAATTAGCGATTAGCTAAGTTAACTGTTTAGCTACTTACAGCAAGTGAATGAGCTGGACTGAGTTGGAGAAGTTTACAGACTTGCAGCAAATCATTTTGATTAGTATTCATTGAATTCTGAATGTGTTGAGCAAAATTTATATTTTTATTTTTTTATTTTTCTATAATGTTTATGAAACTCATGGGGGGTATTATATGGGGGTTTTCAATTGGCGCTGGTCGATGTTGCAATGGAATAAAACAAGCTGTGTGTGAGGTATTAACAAAATATACATATATACTTTTTTAAGGCGCATATATATTTAATTAATATTTTTTATTTATTTATTTTTTTTACTTAAAATATTATTCTGCATTTCATAATTATCTATTATAATTTATTGAAATTTACGAATAATTTATGAATTAATTATTAATTATTATTATATATTTATTAGAGATTTGAATTTATCTAACATTAGGACTGACTTATAATTATTTACTAGAGCTGGGGAAATAATTAATAAGAAAATAATAATAATTAAGATAAACTTAAGAATAAAGCACTGGAAATTGAGGCCTACGGTTTCATAATTTTCTATATTTGGTGCTCTTCAAAGTTAACCCCCTCAGCCAATAGTAATTCCTATCCGGCTTCAGCTGCAGATTCAACAATGCTTTGCTAAATCTCAATCTGCACTTAAAAAGTAACTCTTCGTGATCTTGATGCCGACTTTCTTTATCTGCTCAATCGGAATTTATTTTTCTGCTTTAATGAACCTTTTCACTTTCAGGGAATAGGGATTATTATCTCTGTTTTTTATTTTTTATTTTTTTACATAATCCAAGAGAAGCCCCGAGAAGCCCTAACATACTAGCATTCAAAATAGTCCTACCTGAGTAAACATTAAGCTAAACTATATGATCCTACCAACCTACGTAATCCAAAAAGTTGAGTGAGCAGCCCTCGCAACTTTTTGAACAGACCTTGCAAATGTGGCATATAGATTCATAAAGAATTCGACCTATCACTTATATCTATATATCATATCATAGCATATGTCTGTGATGAGTCGAGCCCTTCTATATATCCCAATTAAAATGGCTGAACAGCGCAGACAAATCATAAATATTTGCATTATATTGCCGCTGGCTGATGAAGTCTGCATATTTGCATGACTAATTTCATTTATGCCATAAGACATTCTTCTTCTCTTATAGGGTATTCCTGGTTGGTATGAATAAATATTGATGATGTATCAGATAAAAGTACTAGACGGAAATGTTATTATATATTAATTAAATTTACTATTATTCCATCTAGTAAAAATATGTCATTTTATTTTTGCTTGTTTTTTGTTAAACTCTAAATTACATTCTGTAGGCTAAATATTAAATTTCATTATTCAATTTCTACTTTTCATTTGCAAAACATTTCGCATAGTTTTAATTAATAGACCAACTAATTAAATTAAATTAAATCCAATTATGCGCGAACCTTTTCTCTTTTATAAAATACTCCTCTATGATTATAGGGTATACCGTTTAGTTAACATAATACTCTTTGCATTTTTCTAATGTAGTTTCTCAATTCTATTCTACTTAGGATCTTTATTCTCAATTCGAAATTCCAAAATATTTTTGCATACACGAATAAATGAAATTTATTTTTAGGGCTCCTTAGTTCTATATATCCCTTAATCTGGACTAAGATCTATAATCTATATATACACTCAGGTCGCTTAAAAATATTTCACTCAATTTCCATATGCGTGTGTTTACAGGGTATTCAGGGCATTCAGTGCCAGTTGATTGGGCAAAAACAATTCAGTTCAGTTATTCAATATGTGTCAAGCCTATTTATGTGGCCCGCGTTGTAGGCAGCTTGTTAGCGACAACAACAACAACAACGAGAATGAAGTGCTATTGATATTTATGTGAGCCCAGTAAGTTAATCTAATTAAAGTTGGCAACTTATTTGCGGCACGTTGTTGCGAAGCGCCTAAGTTTTTGTTGCAGTCGATTGTTATTGTTGCCGTCGTTGTTGTTGTTGTTATTGTTGCTGTTGTTGTTACTGTTGCTGTTTGTGTTGTTTTTATTGTTATTTGGTAATATTTTGTTGTGCTGTGCTGTTGTGTGGTGTTGATGGCAGGTCGTATTCATTATCGCATTACACATTATTATTATTATTATGAAGTCCTCCTGCTCTTGCTCCTGCTGCCCCCTCTCCAGCTATATTGCTCTTACATTCCAGCTTTGATTGCCTTCATTGGCATCTCATGATATAATCATGGCGCCAATGCCAGCGTGAGGTCAGCCGTAATGCGCTTAGAGCCGTAATTATTCCTACGGCACTCGGTCAGCTAATTGACTGCTGTTGTCTTACTCATTTCATTTCATTTCATTTCATTGTTTTTGCTCTTGTTGTTGCTCTTTTTCGTATGTATGTGTGCGCCTCTTTCTTGTTCATCTGATGCTTTTTTTTTTTTGTTTTTGTGCATTATGGCAGTGCAGCGGCAGCCGGATGCAATTCTGAATCCGGATATGAATTGTTGCCCAATAACGGACTGTCGCTGATTGAGCCAGCTGTAAGTGGAGCCGGAGCTAATTGGACGTGCAAGAGAGCGTCCATTCTGCATGCGAAAAGGCTCGGCTCGGGTGACTCCCAATGAGTCCATTCACTTTGCTGTGCACCAGCGCGAAGGCCTTGTCCAGCTGCCCGCTAATTAGGCAATCATTGTTCGATTTAACAGAGACTGAGACAGAGGGTGAGAGTGGGAGTGAAAGAGAGAGAGAGAGAGCCGTAGCACACTTCACTTGCGGGCAAACTTAATTTGCGGCCACATACGAACACCGATTTACAACGACAACAACAACTCGAGCCACTGTTAGTTCAATAGGCGAATGGCAACATCCTTGGGGCACTCTCTTTGTGAGCATCCGGCTGCAGGAGCAGCAGCAGCAGCATTGCGCCCATGGAGCCGCAGCAACAGAGGAGAGAGAGAGAGAGAGAGAGAGAGAGAGAGAGAGCAAAAGGTAACAAATGAACAATCAATGCAACTTTATTTCTTTTCAGTTTTTTTTTTTTATTTTTATTTTTTTTACAACTGTCTTACAACTGGGGAATAAACGTGGCCAGAGCGGAATGGCTTTAGCAAGTAAGACAATACATATTTAAGTATAGAAAAATACAATTATGTTTTGCTTGCCATTGATGGGCAGCGAAAGGCAGAGGGAGTGAGAGCGGGATAGAGAGAGAGAGGGAGAGACATTTGTAATCTTCTTAGTGCGTAAGAAGTAAGTGCTAGGGAAATTCATAATTGAAGGAGATAAGCAATAAGAGCAGGAGAGAAGGCGAGAGGGAGTGAGCGAGACAAGGAGAGAGTGGGAGAGCTAGAGAGAAAGGGAGAAAGAGAGATGAAGCGAGAACAAAAGAAAGCGTGCAATTGGTAGCTTATCTCAGTTTGAAGCTGTGTCAGCTGCCCAAAGACAACAACAATATGTATATTGTTTTAGGGGTCACACGGGCTGCACCTGCTAAATAGATAAGAATATAATTATGTATGTATATATATGGAGTAATTCACTAAAGCCCAGGCCAGCTGTTTAATTAATAATTAGGTATTGATAGTCGATTTGCCTATTACTTAGTTTAAGACAGATTAAATGTGACATACAAAAGTATATAAATAGTATATGTATATATGTGTAT